TTTTATAAACTTTTGCTCTTTATGACTGTTTTTATATACAGAATAACAAAAAAGTCAAAATTATACAAAAATAACATGATTACATGTTATTACAAGATAATTTTGATCAATTTTTACATAAAATTGCATGTTAAAAAATTGTTTAAATATATTTTGTCATACAACAGAAATTTATTATTATTTTATTGTATATTTTCTGATTTCTTTTTAATATAAATTTTTTATATTATTATAAATTAATTATTTATATAAATTAAAATAATTCTCAAGTTATAAGCATTTATGCTGTAATACTTTTATTTACCTCATTGTCCAATACAAACAGGAATTTAAGATGAACATTATAAGTATAGCAATTTCAAACCAAAACGTTTCGTAATTTGTAATGTTTAAATTTATATCTTTGCATTCTTTTGTAATATTTTTTTTTTCCTCAGTACTTATTAATGATGATGTCACATTTTCTGCTACAATACCTAGAAAATTAATTGCAATTGTAAATGATTATCTTTATTATATTGTTTATTATATTGTTATATCGATATTATAATAATTATTAATTGTACATTAAAAAATTAATTTCTTTAAATATAAACATTGTTGTGAGATAAATTAAATTTGTTGAATCTAAATTAAATTATTTAATATTTTAATTATTTAATTTTTTATAATGAATATTTGTTTTTAAAATATTTTTTGTTAATTATTTAATGAAAATAAAAGAAAGAAAACAGTTTAACACATAGAACAATTTAAACTACGCTATATAATTAAATAACAATTAATCTTTACGTTAAACAAAAGGAAAAAATTATATAATTGTATTTATATTTTGTTATATAATTGTAATAAAGTTATATAATTGTATTTATATTTTTATTTTGCATTAATATCTTATTTATAATTACAATATTACATATAATTTTAGGTATGTTATTCTTTCCATTAGAAAATATTTCAAATTACATTATGTTTTTTTTTAATCTCAATTATATTACTGTGTCATATTAAGTTATTTCTAAATTTTATAACTTTGTTTATTAACTTATAAAAATGTCATAGATATTATTTGTCTTCTTAAAAATTTATACAATTAAGAGAGTAGTAAATAAATATAAATAAAGCTATTTAAGTTTTTCTTTTCAAGTATATATATATATATATATATATATATATATATATATAATAAAAAATA